GGGGGGGGGGGGAACAGTTGTTGCATTTACTTATACATTTCCAGCTCCAGTCTTTGGAAAGGAGCAGCATTTTAGTGTTGCACTCTTGGTTTTACTTTGTATCATTTATCTTCATTGCATTATTTATTTTTTATTACCTATTTTTGTTAACATTACGGGAACCAGAATCTGAAGAAGCCGGGAGTTGGCTCCTGAAGACCTCCTTTACTGCTTACCAACAACTGAAAGATAACAAGGACTGGCCTGTTGTGGATTCTATACCTCCTCCCCCAATTGTACTTCGATACCAGAAAGAAAAAAATATCGGAAGGAAATAAGAACTTGTAAGGACATTGAATGGTGTTGGGTCGTTCAGAGGTATTACAGAAATATCTTGGAGGAGACACAAAATACTGTATATAGAAGAAATTGCTACAACATGAAGCATAGTCGTATAGCCACTCCTGTTGGTTGGTATAGTAAGTCAGAACAAACTTGGATCCCTTCACTTTTACTCTTATCTTTATATTCTTTTTTATTAATATCTTCTGGAAGAATGGCGGTGCACATAGTTGCAGCAGCTTGGTGTTTTCCATGTCGGTGCCTTGTATGGTTTTTTTGTTTGAGTTTTTTTTTTACTTTCAGTAAATAACTTTGTTGGGCAGAGAACCCAGATGTAGAGTATTTGACTGTCAAATGCAGGCCCTTTTACCTTCCAAGAGAGTTCTCCATGACCATGATAACTGCGGTTTATATCCACCAGATGCCAATACCAATTTGGCCACTTGGAAGACATGATACTATCAGCAGACAACAGAGCACATATTCTAGCGCAGTGCATATCATAGCAGGAGACTTCAATCATGTGGATTTGAAAGCGGCGCTCCCAAAATTCCATCAGCATATTAGTTGTGCCACCAGAGCACCCAATACATTGCATAAGGTCTATTCTAATATCAGGCTGGGCTACAGGGTCAGCACATCTGGGTCAGTCTGATCATGTGTCCTTGTTTTTAATCCCTGCATATGTTTCCATCAGGAAAACTGTTCTCCCCACTATTAAAACCATAAGAGCATGGGCAGATGGTGCTTACAAGAGCTGCAGGACAGTTCGATCGGACTAACTGAGAGGTTTTTGAACATCAGGACCTGGAGATGTTCAAGGACAGTGTCATGTGTTATACTGGGAACTGCATAGATACTGTCACAGTGGACAAACAAATCCGGGTCTACCCCAATCAAAATCTCTGGATGACTAGGGTAGTACAGCAGCTGTTAAGGGAAAGGAACATTGCCTTCAGGTCTGGTGACAGGGCCCTTTATAGTATGGCCTGAGCAAACCTGAGGAGAGGCATCAGAGATGCCAATTTATTTATTTGATGTATATACCGCCCATCTAGAACGTGTCTACTCTGAGTGGTTAGACTATAAAAGGAGGATTGAGCACCATTTGGACAGAAGTAATAGCAAGCAAGTGTGGCAAGGAATCAAGCATCCAACTATAAGACCAATACTGTAGCTGTGGTGGGTGATGCAGCATTGGCAGAGGAACAGAACATCTTTTCTGCGAAGTGGAAACATCAACAAGGACTGTTTTACAGTCCCCAGCTCATAGCAATTTCATCCTTAAAGTGGAAGAGCATGAGGAGAGGCGCATGCTGAAAGCTGTCAATCCAAGGAAAGCTGCCGGACCTGATGGCATCCCTGGATGAGTGTTGAAGGACTGTGTGAACCAATTGGCTGGAATCTTCACTAGAATCTTTAACAGCCATTGCTACCATCGAGTGTTCCAACTTGTCTGAAGCTCTCCACTATTGTTCTTGTGCTCAAGAAATCTCACATTTCCATATCCTGCTAAATGATTGTCGACCGGTTGCACTCACTCCAGTAGTGATGAAATGTTTTGAAAAACTGGTTCTGAGCCTTATTTATTTATTTATTTATTTATTTATTTATTTATTTATTTATTTATTTATTTATTTATTTGTGTCCCACCTATCTGGTCAATATGACCACTCCAGGCGGCTAATTACATCATCTCTCCCCCAGAGTCATATTACATCATCTCTCCCCCAGAGTTTTGATACCCACCAGTTTGCATATAGAGCAAATAGATCAACGAAGGATGCTGTAGCTACAGTCCTTCATACCGCATTGCCACATGTGGAGCAGCAGGGGAACTATGTACAGCTGCTTTTTGTGGACTTCAGCTTGGCATTTAATACCATCCTCCCTCATAGGCTGGTGGTTAAACTAAGGGACTTGGGACTTCCATATTCTACTTTTATGTGGATAGACAGTTTTTTGTTTGAATGCAGTCAGAGGGTTAGAGTAGGTCAATATACTTCTATGGTTCTCAGCCTTAGCACTGGTTCACCACAAGGCTGTGTGCTGAGTCCCCTGCTCTATACCCTCTATACATATGATTGTATTTCTGCTTATAACAGCAATGCCATTGTTAAGTTCACATATGATACCACAGCAGTGGGGCTCATCTCAAATGAGAATGAGTCTGCTTATAGGGACGAGATGGAACGATTGATAAAACGGTGTAGCAAGAATAACTTGCTCTTAAATACTTCAAAAGCTAAGGAGCTTGTAATAGATTATAGGAAGAAGGGGATGGATATTCCACCATTATTCATCAGTGCAGACTGGGTAGAAAGGGTGAGGGTTTTTCATTTTTTGGATATCCATATTGGTACTGAAAAAGACTCAACAGACATTGTACTTTCTAAGGATGCTTAGGAAGAATAACATCACTCAGAGACTGTTTGTGTCATTTTATCGATGCTCAATAGAAAGTGTATTGTCATACTGTATGTGCACGTGGTACGCAGTTTGTACAGTGGCCCAGAGAAAATTGCTCCAGAGGTTGATTAATACAGCACAGAAGATTGCTGGGTGTTCCCTCCCCACTTTGGAGGAACTGTACATGTCCCACTGTCTTAAAAAAGCACAAAATATTATAAAGGACACCTCCCACCCTGGACACTCTTTGCTTGAACTACTGCCATCAGGAAGACAATATAGATCTATTAAAACAACAACAAATAGATTTAAAAACAGTTTTTATCCAAGGGCGACAACTTTTCTAAATTCAGTTAAGATTTAATTGTAGTTAAGACTTTATTGTTGAGTTGTATGTGAATGTATTTTGTTGCTGTTGCATTATGTTGGAATTTTGTAAGGAGTTTACATGGAGTTTTAGCTTTTGGTGATGCACTGTCTGGATAGCACTCTGGTGATTTCGTTGCACATGCAATGACAATAAAGTGTTATTCTATTCTATTTTTAAATAATGATATCCCACTTGCCCTATTAAAAAGGGGCCTCAAGTGGTTTACAACAATCAGAAGGTAAACACATAACAAAATTAAATCCACAGAACACAACTGAAAACCCACGAATAAATACTGACATCACAAACCTCTTATGACACTAAACAATGGTACAGAGAAAGTCGCCTTAACATACTTGTGACAGAAACTGACTTCAGGAAAATGGCTCGGATTTGGAATCTAGCTGTTCCAAAACGTATTTATTACTAAGCACTTATCTTGGTGGCAATAATTTCCTTAGTGTTTGGCTTTAGGGGATGAAAGTGGATGGTTAGAGCAAGCATTTGTTGGAATGGAGGTCTTCAACTAAGACTCTGAACTTAAGGAAATGAAGCAAAAATCTTTGTTTTCTTTTCAACAACAAATTAAAATGTTTCAGTTTGCCCACAGATTTTAAGGTCTATTTGTTTTTTGTTTGATTGACTCACTAACTGCATTTAACTAAATGCATTCAACTGCATTGAACCATATCAATGATACTACATGACATTTATCTTCCAATAATTTTATGTGCCTCCTTCTAGGATCCCTTGCAGGCAAACAGCTGGTTATACTTATTAAAACAAAATAAATAAAATGGGGGATGCTACAGAATGGTTCCTGATTGATAGAGGGTACAAAATGCTTCCAACTAGGTGGTGATGCCAGAGGGCCTTTTGCTAGCAAGAAAAAGCAGAAAGATTGAGAAACGGCTGGTTAAAAAGGAAACTCTGTGCTTCCTGCTTAAAGCAAAATAAAATTCCCAGAGTTACAACAACTGATGGCAGTGATTACACTCTTTATTCACTAGTTTCCTTTTTAAAGCCAACCACGTGCCAGGATGTTATTCAAATTTTGAGTTTTCTTAAATGTAGACAGAGATCTTCAGTTAACACTTATACCTTAGGATATTTATAAACAGAAGTGAAATGTTGAAAGGATTTCAAATTTTCTAACATTTTAGGGGTTAAGGAAGCAGATCTAGATCCAGAGTTATACCTGGTTCCTACGCTTTCTTTTTGGTTTTCTCCACCAAACTGTACCTAACAAGCATCAACTTCAGCCACCTGATAGTGTGCAGCAGTTCAACAAGATTCTTGAATGATCCACAGTTTTCCTGTGTCGTCCTTCAGCAAAAGGGTCACAGGTGAAACTCAGTGGTACAGCACATATTTTGTAGATAGAAAACTCTGGATCCAATCTGTGGCATCTCTGCACCAGGCTGTGAAATGAATGAGCCTCTTGGCAAAGTTTTGCATTCCCATCATTCTAGGAAAGCGAAATTACTGTCAACATGCACTCCCTAGTGGGTCATAAACTGGGGGAGGGGGGAATAGAATAGTTTATTTACAGTCCTTAGACCAGTCACATATGTATAAAACCTTATTATTTCTAACTTTCAACATTCCATTATAACATGTTAGCATGCATACAACTGGGAGCTACTATCTAGTTGGAATTTGGCTTCTGCCAATGACTAGTGGGTCATAGACTGAGCAGGAAAGCTGCTTCACCCCAGCTTTCTCCAGGAGGCCTTTTACCTGCCAGTTCACAAGCAGCCTGTGTGTGTACACTAAATATATGAGTGATAAGATGGTTGTGGAACAATATTTACCTAGCCTGATGGTTGGGGGCGGGGTTGGCAGGGTGTCACTGAAGGCTTGTTTTAGTTTTATAAATTGGGTTTATTTACATGTTCACTTATTCCTTTTATTTCTTTCCCACCTTCTTTCAATTTGGGGACCCAAGGCTGCCGACAGGTTAGAAGCTGAGCGTAAAGGGAAACGCAGCTTCAACTTTCTCCAAGACGCACCCAAAATACATTGCTCTCACTCCAGAGGTCCAGGGCGAGAGTCGGCTCCTCCAGAGCCATACGGACTCCACATCCAGCTCTGTGGGTGCTTCCAGATACAGTCATGCCTGCATTTTACAGTCAATTATTTTGATCACCGTGGTCATCAAAAGCGCCCACCTCTGCGCTTCTCTGTTCCACACCCACGGAAGAGATTGGAACATTTCAAACGCAGCTTGCAGGAAATAAAGGGGGGGGGGGAATAAGCATAACGACAGGATACTTCCCCCTGGGGGGAAGAGAGCAAACGTCCGAAATACTAAGTTCCTCCGTTTAAGTGGAGCTGCCAGGGGCATCCCGACGCAGTCTGAACGAACCGGCGCAAGTCTTCAACGGAGCGCACTCACCTGAATCGCGGAGGTGCCCGGTGAGGACAGCGATCAGCAAAGTTTCACACTTCTCTTGCAGGCTCGGAGCGACTTCCTGTTTTCTTTTTCTCTTAAAGGTACACGTTTGTATTCTCTGCTCTTCGCAGTTCCATTAGACTTTGTAGCTTTCTTCAGCTCCCCACATGTTTTTTTTTTTAAAGAACATCTTTGCTTTAAAGCTTTCTCTGGTATTTAAAATGAGTACTGCAAAATGTTGACAATGAAAAAAAATTAAATAAAGATTTCGTATACCTTGGTACAATCATCAAACCAAAGGGAGACTGCAGTCAAGAACTGCTGGATTGCTCAGTGGCTTAGGGCGGGGATTCGATTCCTTACTGTGCCTTCTTAATTGGTACTGGACTTGATAATTTACAGGGTCCCTTCCAGCTCTGAAGTGTTAAGATAATTGTAAATCAGAAGATGACTGAGACTTTGAAAGGGAGCAATAAAGGAATGAAAAAGAATAATCAGGTGAAAGAATGAGTCACAAGACTCTTGTATTCCGGGTAACCGTATACAAGTGCAGAAGCAAGACAGTTTTAAAAAAATCTGATGGGGAAAAATTGATTCATTTGAAATATGGTGTTGGATGGTGGTAGGCATCCTTCAGTCTCAAAGGACTGTGGTAACATGCTCTGAATAGAGGTCTTGGAACAACGTCTAGTGTGGCTGAGAAGGCCAATTTGAGAGTGAGAATCCCTTCCATGCTGAAGACAAATACAATCTGTCCCCTGTCCAGCTCCCTGATTTTGCTGCTTTCGGGACTGCCTCTTTGCCTCAGCCTGCTGGACAAGGGTCTCTTCAAATTGGGAGAGGCCATAATGCACCGCCTGCCTCCAGGCTGAACACTCGGATGTCTAGTCTTCCCTTCTGTTGAGGTCCATTCCTAAGGCCTTCAGATCCCACTTGCAGATATCCTTGCATCTCAGTTGTGGTCTCCCTCTGGGGCACTTTACCTGCACTAATTTTCCATACAGGAGATCTTTTGGAATCGGACCGTCAACCATTCTCATGGTGTTAGATAATTGTTTTGAGAATGCCCTGAACTGCTAGAAAGACACTCAAAGATCAAATCAAGACAACACTTTTTCTGGAGGCAAAAATGATAAAACTGAGACTGTTCTACTGTACTTTGGGCACATTGTGTGAAGGCAACATTCTGTGAAAAAGACAATAATGCTGGGAAAGTTTGCAGGAAGCAGGAGAGGAAAACCAAATACCAGATGGATTGACTCCCCAAATGGAAGCCACAAGTTTGCGTTTACAGAAGCTTGAGGACAGGACATTTTGGAGGTTACTCATTCATAGGGTCATCATAAGTCAGAGGCATGGAACAATAGCAGCAACTGCAAAGCAATGTAATAGGTCACAGAGTAAGCCCATTTGAACTGATGAAATTTATGGAAGAGTTGACTCATCAAATCCCTGCTGATTTAATGAGGCTACTTTAGTGTAACTTGCTGTACTAAGCAACAGGACTTCATTCAGTGAAACCCAAATGCTCAGTGGTTGGGTTAATTTTCAAGGCCTTCCACTCTTGATATTAATAATAAAATAAAAATTGGTAACCTGATACATCTAGAGAGCCTTGTCTAGGAACAGGGCTCTATGCCTACATTATTTGTTTCCTCATTCCTGTGACTTCCTTGCTATCTAGTAAGGCCATCTCCAAGATACTTTAGAACTTTGTTCTTTGCACTACCAGTTTGAGACTCCCATAAGCCAACATGGCCAGAAGCACAAGAAAAGGAATTTTTTTTCAGACTTTGGTATCTATGCATTATAGTCGCTCCCACCAGTGATAATGCAGTCCAGAACTACAGCCTGGTGCACTATCAAAAAGCCATGAAGAGCCTGTATGCAGAGATGAGGGCTTAAAAGAAGTGAGCCAACCACAAGCCACAGCTGGGCTGAGGAACCATTTCTGAGGCTTTGGCCACATTCCTGTCTCAGTGGGACGCTTTTTTCACTTCCCCTCTGGTTTGCCTGCACAGGTAAAGTGACAAGCGGGAAAGATGAACTGTCTCAGGGATGTTTTGAGAGCTGACTGAGCAATCATCTCACCCGATATAACAAAAGCATTTAGATCTTTCACAGGTGGGGAATACTGAGCAAGGACAAGGCACTCACTATATTTGGATTCTTTCACCTGTGTAGTAAGGACTAGAAGGTCTTTTTTAAAAACAGGCAAACCTTGAAGGCAAGGCCTATCTGTCAGTTGTTTCTCATGCAGCCAGAAAAGAGCTCAGTACAGCACTGGAAGGCAGGGGGAAAGCAGGTTTTGTTCCCATCCTCCTTACCCTCATGTTTTGACATAAAAGTAGAATCCCATCCTGTGTCATAGATACACAAAGTAACTATATTAAAAATATACACAAAGCCAAACAAAATTGGTTGGCCCAAACAAATTTGCAGAAGAGCCCTCCAGAGGCCAACCCACCACAAATAGCAGCCAACCTTGCCTCATGGCAAGCATGATGCTGTGATGCCTCATGGCAGGGCATTCTTTGTCAGTCATGGAGCCTTTGGGGATGGGCTGTAACTCAGGGCAGAGGAGCACACACTTTGCAGAGAAATTATTATCTTAGCTCCTATCCTTGGCCTCTTCAGGGAGTCTTTGGAAAGACTCCTGGAAAGCCACTACTAGGCAGCCATAGGTGGGTAGTGAGCCAGAAGAACCAATCATCTGGCTTGTGGAAGGAAACAAGAACCTTCTCCAGATCCATTTTCCAGGCAGCCATTTTATGCACTTACTGCATTCAGAGTTTAAATGCCTAGCTTGTTGGTACAGTGTAGGTGATAGTTCTAATGAGATGGATTCTTTGAGTAGGTGAGGCATGGAGGTAGTAAGGGAAGGAGAACCCCAGGAACAGCCAAATTCCAAATGCTGCCAAACTTGTGTTGGCGAGATAGAGAGCATTATTCTGTTTCTTTATCTCCCCTGTCCACCCCCAGTCGCTACCTACTCCTCAGATATCTCTCCTTATGTTCCTAAAGGAATAGTACCATTTTGGGAGTGTTTTAAAGAACAAGGGAGGAGCTTTGAAACCAGTGGATAAATAGCACTGGTGCCTTTTATCTTTTGGGCAGAAGGCCCCAGGCAGGTGGGCAAACCTAGGAGTGAGGCAGAGCCACAGCAAAATATTCATACAGGCACAAACATACATGCACACACACAAAGACAGGCACATTTTTCAAAAGAGATATTCAGCAAGAAGAGAACAAAGATGTGGCACCTGATCCTCCATCTCTGGTGAGGTAATAGGCTGGATGGGTATAGGCTGAGCCTGAGGTGGAGCAGTGCTCCACTTGCCATAATAGACAAGCCACCACAGCAGTGGATCCCAGGCTATTCTAAGCCATCATCCAAGCAGCCCCTTTGTGCTGTCAAACGAATGACAGGAGAGCAAGAAGACGTGTAGCAGTTTCTGCATCTGCTGTGGGACGGTTTGTAAGAGCAGATCTCCCTCACCACTTGCGGACTTCTTTCTCTCTGTCAGAGAGGGAAATTTGCTTTGCCCCGCTAGGTCCCTGGGATGCCTTCATGGATTAAACAGTTGCAGACTTAGATTAATTAATTTATATTGAGAATTTATACATTGCCCTTAAAATATATTCCTAGGATGGCTTCCTAGGAATATAAATAAATGTAAAATACATTTAAAAACATTTATATTAATATAAAACTGCTGACTCAGGATATGATATATACAACTGTAACACATTAAGATAGGTATTTCAGTTATGTTTTAAAGCAGGGGTGAGCTGGGGATTTCCAACTGTAGTTTGTTGAATGTGTTTGGGGGGGGCAGAATAACCCATCATGGTGCAGAGGGTAGAGTACATGAAGAGGAGACCTAGATTCAGATCACTGCTTGGTCACAGACACTCATGAGGTGGAGTGGAACTGGTAAAACTTTGACTTCAAAGTTTTAATGCTTACCTATAAGGCCCTAAATGGTTTGGGACCTTGATACTTGGCAGAATGCCTGCTCCCACCAAGATCTACCCGTACCACCCGCGCGAGCCAGGAGGTGAGGCTGAGGAGCCTGACGCCGAGGGAGGCCCAGAGGGAAAAGACACAAAACTGGGCCTTCTTGGCGGTGGCTTCTTGCCTTTGGAATAACTTTCCCCCGGAGATTCGCGAGGCCCCTACACTGGGTACATTTAAAACCCAACTAAAAACATGGATGTACATCCAGGCCTTCCCTCCTGTCAGCTCTTAACTCTTTTCTTTTGCTATTTATTATTTATTATAATTTTTGCACTGTTTATTATTGATTATGTCAATTGGCCCTGTGTGTTTTTAATGAATATATGTTTGCTGGTAGCCGCCCCCAGAGTGGTAGAACTTACCAGATGGGCGGGATATAAATAAATAAATAAATAAATAAATAAATATAAATAAATAAATAAATAAAAAATCCCTCCTTAATTGTCTCACCTTGAAAACCCTATGAGAGTCACTATAAGTTGGTTCCAATTTGATGGCACATAACATCAAGAACAACTGCATAGTCTGTATCCCATAACTGGATTAAATTCCCATAGCCTCTGACCACTTGCTCTACTGGCTAGAAGCAAGTGCAATAAGGCAAAAACCTCTGGAGACCCACATCCTTGAATTAAAGCCTGAGACGAGAGTACAGAAAACAGATTGCTTAAAAAGACATCAAAGAAAAGGACCAATGAGTTCCTGCTGGCAGAGCTTTTCATATTCAGGTTTCTGCTGTTGAAAAGACATTTTTCCTGGTAAAAGGCTTGGGGGAGGAGAGAGAGAACCTGCTAAGGGGTGCTGTTTAAGGTGTTCGTCTATATAGTGAGGGGCATGTCGAGGTAGGGCCCTCTTTAGGTTAAGCTTCCTTAACATGTGTCCTCCAGATGTGTTGGGCTACAATTGCCATAGTGACTAGATACTATGATGATGCAAACAGGACTCTAACCCAGCTGGAGGGGACCAGGTCAGACAAGGTTCTTGAGATACACTGACCCCCAAGCTCTGAAGGGTTTTAAAAACCCAATATCTGGGCGATAGCTGGGGAATGCCTTGAGTTTGCCTGTTTGATTGCTTTGATATATACCTCCTAAGTTTTGTGTCTCTTGTTGGGAAATATTTCCAGACAAATTTCTTTTG